CTCTGACTCTCAGGTAAGGCAGAGCATTTTTTAAACCAAGTGCACACAAACATGTACCTTGACTGCAGAAAGCTTCCGGAGATCATTCCAGGCATTGGTTAATGACAGCATCACCAAAGCAAAATAAATTAAAAAACCCCCAACCAACCAACCACCCAAACAAAAACAAAAAAAACCCAAACCAACCCCAAAACCACAAGGGAGGAAACAAAGTGGGGAAATGTATGTTCAGGCACGCTTTAACCCATGTTAACAATAAACAGCTCCCCCCCAAACCACTAGAAGTGACTGGTTAAGTCTAGATGAAGCCTATACACTAACTGAATACTTTTGCCTCAGCTTGGTAAACTGTATTAGAAACAGATGAAAGGCAAGGTGACAGCAGGAAAAAAATAATTAAGTCTGGAAATGGGAGATAGGAAAGTATGGAAAGTGAAAGAAAGTAACTGCGGAAATGGAATCTGTGTAAATCCTCACCTGTGAGAAAGCTAAATTCAGGCCCTGAATGCTCTCATGGTTTGGGGGCACACAATCTCTGATACAGTAGCCTGGAGAAATTGGCATGTGAAATACATTGTAGCAAAGAATTTCAATAAACCTACTGAGTTGACAAGAGAGAGGGAAGGCAATGTGTATTAAAAGTAGTAATCTTTTAAACTGTACTTTTGAAATGGCAGAAGAAAGGAAGGGAGGAATCATCTGTTCATTTCCAAAACTGTCAGTAAGATACAGGTAGTATGGAAAGCTTCAGAAAAAGTAATTTCAAGGCACTAAAGACAAAAATGAAAATGGGAAACAGGATAAGATGCTGAGTAGCAATGCTGATGATAGATCGTATCACACTGAGGTGATCTCTCTTTTTGAAATAACTTTCTAGACAAAATATGCAGTAGAGCTCATCTGCTCTGACTTCAGTGAAGCATTTCATACAGTGGCACATGTGAAATTATTAGCTGAGATGAAGATGATAATCAGAAGGAAAATATACTGAGTATTGACCAACAAACGAGGAGGTGACAAGTTAGGCTGGTAGGTGATGTGTAAGGCATGGGGAGATTATTAGTGGAGTTTTTCAAGGATCTGACTTAGAATAATCTTACAAAATGGCATTTATTATCACATTGAAGAAAAATATGTATTTGTGTTGTTCCAGCACTCAGAATTCACTAAGGGTGCTGCTAAACATTTTCCAGGTTAGTACTGTTCTTTTGAAACAAATATCCAAGTTGGCTTCACATACAATTCTTCAGTTCATGCCAAGGAGCAATCTCATAGCACATACTCAGCTCCTTTCAGAGGAAGATAAATGGGGAGATGTCCTTCAGGAGTATATAACATGTTCCACTTGCAAATGGATGCCCATGTAGAAGCTAGTCAAGGAAACCCTTTGAAATGAAACCAGTATGGACAATGAGTCCTTGGCGCCAAACACAGACCTACTCCTCTTGGGCTGCACTGATTAACCATACAGCCCAGGTGTTACCAACATAAAAGAGATCAGAAGAAAAACTGAGTTGTCTTAGTGGACTGGAATAAAACGGAATTTAATATTAAAAGTGAAAAAAACACACAATTTGAGGCCAAAACACATGACATCTTGCCTACAAAGTTGGAACGTATTCTGAGAACCAAAATATCTAATTACTAAACTGGTTGTACAATGAAACACAGGATAACTCTGAACAAGCAGAGTGATGAATTCCTTTAAAAATAAGAAAAACAACCCTCCAGAAATATCAATAAATTTACAACATATATCAGGTTATTCCTGATCTCCTATTTTTAATAGGAGAGCAGTTGGCTGTTGCAACAAAATTAAAATGCTCATAAGAACTTCCAGCTGATAGCAGAAATATATTTATTGGCAACTCATACTTAATCTGCAGTAGTTTGCAAAAAACAATATTGGTATTAGGGTTTAGTGGGATTTCAAAATGGATTAGCTGTTTTTGTGAACATCATCCGGAATAATTACACTAGCTGGAGTAAAAACTGGTAAGGGACAAGAATGGTTCTATGATGCTTCCTACAGACAACTCACAGTCATTGTATATTATTCTCCTCTAAAGCATTATCTAACTGAATTAGAACCAAGACAACAGATTAGACATACAGCTTTTTCTTTAATACAGTGGGTTCTTACATTTCAGTTTCAACAAAGTGTTCTAAAATAAAAGTATTGTAACTATTAGATTTTCATTCTCTAAGAGACTCAGGGTTGTAATTCTGACAACTGTTGTTCAAACAAGTAACACTATTAAAAACCAGGCTTTACGGAAGGTGTAACATACTCCAGTGATCTTAATTTGAAATACCAAGTCCTAAAATATAAAACATCGCCGTGCATAGAACATTGATGTAGGAGTCAACAACTGACCTGAAAGTTAAACATGTGGTAGCTCTGTTAAGTACAATTAATTTGCTCCTCAGTTTAATATGAAAAGGTTTAAACAAAGGGCATGAACGTACCCTTCAGTGTTAAATCATACTAGTTGAAGCACTCGTACATCCATCTGCATTCTCTTACATACCTGCACACAGTCTCACTAAAGGATTTCTACTTGCTCATCATGCTGTATTTGGTAGAAAGATTAATGAAAATAAAGTAGCGCTGGGAAGATACAGGGAGAAGTTCCTGGTAAGGGTCAAAAAAGACTCAGAACTTGAGTGCGAAAGACTAAGGCAATCCAGGAACTCTGCATGCTGCCTGAAAATGTGTGGAGAGAGAAAGCTGCTGCTGTAGGTTTAAACTATTACCCAAATTTCACTCAGCAGAAACCAAAGACTCAGTAACACTGTATTTGAAGGATAAGTAAAATCAGGTCTAGAACTAAGAAAGGCACTCTGATGGGCCTGCACAAAAATACAGCCTCAAGAATTCTGCTCAGTTGTAACATTAAAATTAACTTTCTTTCAGAGCCAGACTGGTGGTGCTAGGTTGCCTTCCCATTCTTTAGAGCAAATGGGGCTCCCCAGAGGAGTAGTTAAAGTATCAGCCTGGCAAGAGTCCAGTCCCTGTTTCAAGAATTTTATCCAGCAACCATTTTATGTAAAATATAGAAATAATCCCCCAAGAGACAACGTAAGCCAATATTTCTGTTCTATCACTGCAGAGTCATGTTCTTCATTTACTGATGAAACTTGTCCAATAAATGAGCAGAGGGAAACAGCTTTGCCGAGGAATGAGGGACAGACCTTAACATCAGTCTAATACATAGACAGTGGTTAAGATGCTTACCTGAAAGGTTGTTTTTTTATTTCATTAGTCTTAGCGGAAGGAGCAAACTTATTTCTTGCACAATCTGAATTATTTATCTTCTGGAGTTATTACATACAGAGGATGCAGTATTGTAACATTTCCTCTGGCTAGATCTAGTGTTTAGCTTCTCATTCCAACAAAAGGCTTGTGGTGTGCCTATACAATTATTTTGTTTGATGATAAAACTAGTTTAGAAGCTCCTGTCTTTGGCTTATTTTTCACCCTGCAGTTGCAACTCATTGTGGGGCTGCATAGAGCATTGATAACAGAAATTAAATTAAAAAAAGTCTGTGAACTGAATCAGCAAGAGACCGAATATTATCTGGGTGCCCTAAAGATACAGTTTAAGAAATGTTTTTGTCTTCACCAGTTTCTTACTTGCCAACTGTACATGGCTTCCATTTTGGCCACTGTAAGGTTCCTGACTTTCCTCATGTATTACTACATCTTTGCCCTACTGCAGTTTCTGACTTCTCTACATGAAGACTAGTGATCAGGCCTTTTAAATGTCTGCAAGCTTTCCTGACTAGCTTGAGCTGGAACTACCAAGTAATAGGGAATGATGTGATGTCCTACATTACCATCAAGGGAGGGGATCCTTTCCCTCTACATGGCACTAGTGAGGCCACATCTGGAGTGCTGGGTCCAGTTCTGTATTTATCAATACAAGAGAAACATGGACACAGTGAGGAGCCAGAAAGGTAATGAAGGGACTGGGGCATCTTCCTCTGAGGACGGGCTGAGAGACCTGGGAGCACTGCTTAGCCTGGAGAAAAGGCTTAGGGGAATCTTAACACTGTATGTAGGTGTACAGACACCTTAACATCTAAAGGAGGATGCAAAAAAAAGGAGCCAAGCTCTGAAAAGAGCCTGGTGCCCTGTGACAGGACACAAGGCAATTGGCACAAACTGGAACACAGGAGGGTCCCTCTGAACATAAGATAACACTTACTTTGAGAGTGACTGAACACTGGAACAGGTCACTCAGGGAGATTGTGGGGTTTCCCTCCTTGGAGTTACTCGGAAACCACCTGGACATAGTCCTGGTCAACCAACTCCAGGCGACCCTGCTTGAGCAGGGGGTTGGACAAGATGACCTCCAGACATCCCTTCCAACAGCAAACATCTTGTGATTATCTCAATTAAATATTCCATTTTGGGGTTATTTGGGAACGTTTTTGTCTGTCAGCCATGGAATTTCTTTGTATGGTATTATTTTGATTTCTTGCTTTAAGTCAGTAGCCTTACTCTGGTCCCCCAAGTGGGTAATTTTTCCAAAGTGAGTATATTTTTCAGTAACAAGTATCTATGTTGAAATTAAAAGCTCATGCCCTGCTATCCTTAGAAAAGGACTGCTATTCCACATATGATGGTACCCCAAAACCAGTCTTTCAAGCTATGATTTAGTGTAGCTATTAGGAAAATAAAAGTTTACATCATTAATGTCTTTAAGAGTGTTTTCCTTTTTTTGCAAGAAACCTCCTGCAAATTAAAAAGAACAGGGTGTTCTTTTTATAAAAAAAAATTCTTCTATTAAAACCGCATTTCATATTACATGAGGAAAAAACATCCAAGCCTTTACATCTATAAGGATGACGTTGAAATCAATTAGTCATAGCCAAATATCTAGTGGCAAGAATATATATTAAGCACAATGTTATATACAATGTTATGATACCCAATTATACTTTGGTATGGAAGATTTGAGAGCATAGAGGAAAAATAGGTCTTAAACCAGATATATGTAGATAGACATTTTATTTCAAAAAATAGCAAATGTCTTAAGAACACAAACCAGAAAGTTATTAAAAGCTTCATAGCAAAATATTTAGCCAACTCTGTTACAATATATAGGCTTGAGGTTCTAACAGTTAACACAATGCCTCAATTCACTGAGCAAGTAATGCTCCTGATACATAAACATCACGCAGCTGAAATATGGGGTTTGATATTAAAAAAAAGAGAGGGTATTTTCATCTTTGATCTTCCATAATCAAAGTAAATGAAGAACAACATTTTAACAGGTTTTATTCTTTTTGGGAAAAGCCATTAAAAAGAATTCCTGAGTATTTAGGTTAAGTAAAAAAACCAACCAATTAAGATCAACATCCTGTTAGGTGAGCCTTGCAACAAATGTCACTTGAAGTGACATTCTCTAGCATGGCTGTCGTGGCAGGATTGTGGACTAAATACCTTAGTGAAATACATGAAAACCTTCTGGTATGCACATTCAAATTTTCATTTTCTTTAGTAATACAACTGTCAACTGTGAAGCTTGGTTTGCTGAGAAAAACATTGTTTTAAATGTCACTTCCTTTTGCAAAATCTTGTAATGCAAATTACCAGAGCTAAACCTTCAGTGAACCATCACACCAATAATTATGTGAAATACAGAAATCAAAATTTAGGCAAAGGTCTTTCATACTATGTTAGTATACATATTGAACTGTATGCTTTGTATCAGTATTTTGAACACAGAGATCTAGCTATTTAACTTCTCACTATTGTAATGAGAGGCAATATATTCATTTTCCATTATTCTCTTCAGATGCATGTCACAATATAATCTTATTATACACTATGTTTCTAAAATCCTGCTGGCATTCATCATGTTCCTATAATTTTAATTGAATATGTATATTTTTATTTTAAAACTGCTGCCAATCAAAGTGTGTTAGATAACTAATCCCAGAAGAATTTTCAGATTTCTTACTTTATATATGTTTTCCCAGAATTACAAGATTAAATTACAATGGATGTAGAAAGATTACTGTACAAAGCATAGTTAATAATTCACAACACTGGTATTCAACTCGACCAATTACAATGAATTTACAGAAATGCTTTTAATTATACCCACTCTTTTTTATCCACCCATCCCAATATGTAAACAAGTTTCTCACGATGACAATGGCAAGACTGCAGTTACTGAGATGTACCATATGTAAAAGACAACACCTAGGATATAGGCCTGGATTTGACAATTCCAGGGTGTGCTCCTGTTCACTTCCCATTCTAGACTGCAAGCACTGTTTTCAGACTCCTGCAGCTATTAAATAGATAGAACTTACAGGTAAATGGAGCTGTTTTCCTAATGCAGACTTCTGGAGTCAATTGATAAAAGATAGCATGCTTATATAGAACAAAAGGAATAATGACTCAGGGAAAATTAGAATCGGTTCTATCGAAACTCTGTGAGCAATTGATAATGTACAGTATTGCAGCTGTATGTTACTAAGACAAAAAAACCTGGCATGAGAAAGATGAAGATCTCTGTTAACACAAACCAGTTTTGATGGACTATATTAAGCATTTGGTTAAAAACAGGCTAGTACTAGTGTCACTGAAAAGGAAACACTTGTCAACATGTTTTTTTAAAAAATACTGTGTGACATCTTCTAAATTGCAATTTCAATATTAAAATCTTGTTTCAGAAGTTCCTCTCTTCAGGTTGTTACTCAAAAACTCATCATGTTCAAAACTCAAATTATTATGAGATCTTGATATCATAAGAAGTTTTTCCTTATTAGTAAAGTCTTTCTTGACTGCCGCTTGTGGCACAAGTAACCTATCCATTGGGTCCTCTTTGTTTTCTAGTTTCATATATCCTTTACTGTTGCTCCGATCCAGTCTGGGCCAGCTAGGGTGCTTCCTTTGTTCAGCTTGGACAGTGAGCATAGACGGACCCCTGTCCAAGTCCAGGGACTTTGAATGTGAAGACAGAAGATGCAAAGATGTGTTGGACCCAAACTGTTTCCTGGCAGCACCAGGAGATAAAAGCTTTCCTGTGCTTGGTCCAAGAGTCATAGAAGATTTGAACTGATCAGATGGACTGTCCCCAAAAGAATTGTGTCTTGGCAGCATGGTAGAGGCAGGTCTACAGGATTCATTGGTATCAGTTAGTGGAATAGCCAGAGAATCCATCGACAGATTTCGAGACCGACTCCTAGTGATCTCCGAGTCCTCAGTTATGTTGTCTATATTGGGTTCATCAATAACACAGTTATTCAGTTTAATTACTGGCAGTGTGAAAGCACTAATGGAAGATGATACAATGGATTTTGTTTCACACTTTATAGAGCCAATGTTTTTGTCATCTGAAGCCTTGCTGGAGTGAGGGTAAAGTCCAAAGACTGAACCAGATTGCTCAGTCAGCAGAGGTGGCAGGAGGCTACCAGTGGTCCTGTCCTCATTTAAGGTAGTCTCATCTTCTTCAGCAGAACTATCCATTCTAAAATTACTCTTGAAGCCAGAGAAAGGTGCAACTGTGTTCGCAGCCAGCCGTGAAGCACACAAGCTCCCGCTGTGCCCAAGTTCTCCTTCCCCCAAAAAGCCAGTGAAGGCACCACTCAGCTGCTTTTGTTCCTTGATCCTCAGTGTGTGGATGTCTATTACAGTGGAGTATATGTCTCTCATGTGTATGATTTTTGTCTCCTTGTCACGGTTTTCATGCAGAATGGCATTTGCGCAAATAAAAATGAAGATTCCAATGCCCATAGTAAAAGGGCCCAGCATTTTCATCTTATCCGAGTGCACATGCTGCTCAAAGAAACGAAGTAAAATGCTTCCTTGGCTTCTCAGGACTTGGGTTTCATTTACAGAGAGATTATCTTCAGATCCTAGAAGCTGTTCCTTTTGGGGCCAGTATCCAAGGATGGCCATTGCAATTCCAAAGAATGCAATAAGCACTCCCAAAACAAGGAAGAATCCCGATGGAGAATAGAGACGGATTTTGCCCCTGACAATAACTACATCTGCCCTAGGCCGGCATCTAACTGGTTTCTTCTCCTCAGTAGCTGGAGCTGTAGAAAGATTTACATGTTGCTGAGATCTTGCGGAGTCTTGCCTTTTTAAGGCAGCTAGTCCTGTTATGACTCCTCCGGTTGCTATCATAGTTCTATATTGTGCCCTGGGGAGACAAAAAAACAACAAAAAGTATAAATACTGAGGCAAGCAAAGGTTGCGTCTGCAAATGAAAACAGCACTTTGTTAATCTGCAGATATTTCTAGATGATAAAAAAATTAATGAATTTTTAAAAGCTAATATATAAGAGCTAGTGCTCTTACTGGTGATATATCAGTATTAGAGATTAAATACTCAGAAGTCTTAATAGACAATTTATCTCTGGATTGGTCTGCAGCAAAATCAGTAATATAGTTACCTTGTATGCATTTTAGATAATTTCAGCACTTTTATTAGTTCTTTTAAAAACTTCTTTTAAAAACTTTTAAAAGACTAGGAACATGGATTCACTCTACATAGACCCCTTAGGAGATCTTTCCTTAAAGATTTCAGCATATATTAATACATATTTATTCCATCGTTTAAAGACATTTTTATTAAGCCTATTTAGATCACCTGAGTCTGAACTACACAGAGTAGTTCAAACTCAGAATCATTTTTGTCTTTCCTAATAAAGCTGATTCTCTCTTATGCAGATATAGGTGTGTGTCCCCCCCCCTTGGTTACTCCTGGACTACAACACAAGTAGCTGTAGTCCACAGTTTAATTTACCAGACAAGAAATATTCATAAATTTCAAGTTCATCAATTCAAAGCTTCATCATTTATAAGGAAAATTATTCATTTTAGACATAGTTTCATGTCTGGCTGTCTATTACACAAGAAATATTAATGAGCATGGGTTTAAAAAGAGAAAGACATGTTTGACAGTTTCATATGAGTAAGAGTAATAAATGGAAAAACACAGTTAGGGTAACAGGTTCACACTTAAACAGGGGAAGTTTAGATTAGATATAAGGAAGAAGCTCTTTACTGTGAGGGTGGTGAGGCCCTGGAACAGGCTGCCCAAAGAAGTGGTAACTGCTCCATCCCTGGCAGTGTTCAAGGCCAGGCTGGACGGAGCCTTGGGCAACATGGTCTGGTGTGTGGTATCCCTGCTCATAGCAGGGGTGTCGGAACTAGATGACTTTAAGATGCTTTTGAACCCTAACCATTCTATGATTCTGTGATTCTATAATTGTATTTTATTTTATAAGGCATATTCTAATCAGACTCAAGAATAGTTTCTGAGCTTTATTAATTAATATTAGAATGAATACTAGATAATATTATAGAGTAAACTTAAGATATTGTAAGCCAGGTATGAAAAAATTATGTTCTCTTCAGTGGCATTACTAGGCTCAGAGATAAAGAAGGCTGACAGTCTGTTGCAGAGGAAAAGACTCCGTCGAAGCTGGGGATGGCTTTAATGAGCAGACACAGCTAAAGTTGGACTGGGTGAATAATGTGAGAGGCTGAAAAGCAGAGGCAAAGCAAGTTAGCGACTGCTTGCAATTCACAGGCCTCGATTTTCATTAGATCTTTTAAAAAAATCCTAGCAGTGCACTCATGAGAAAAAAACAACTAGATGTACCATGGCATGAGAAACAGACAGATGTACATTGGGACATTATCATAATTTCCAACACTGCAAGCAGCTTTCACATAAGCATATCTACGAACAGAAATAGGTCCAACCCACCCCATATGAACTTGATTATGAAATTAATAGGGAAATTGAGAAAGAGGCCAAGAGGAAGGGCTAATAAAAATAAAATAAAAAATCCACTGTTCATTATTACCTGTTCAGCAGCAATTTAGATAGCAGACAGAAAATGTAGCAACCTGAACACCCTCCCTGCACCAACTCTATTCTAGGACAGAGCACTTCCTTTCTCTGTGAGAAACCTTTTCTTTATGAAGAAAGACCTGGAAAAAGGCCTAGGGTGCTAAGTATACAGCATTTTCTGAACTTCTGAAGGAAAGTCATAGCATTATTCCAAAAATCTCTGAAATTTCACTTGTACTGTCATGTTTCATGTTCCTCTGGAAATTCTCACCCTTTGCAATTCCCTTCCATTTTTATGCTGTCATCTGGGCAATTTCCATAGTTTGATGCCAATTAATTTCTTGAATGCTTCACGAAAAGCCTTTTTTTATGTAACAACTGAAAATCCCCCAAAGAAAGTTATTTGACATTGATAGACTTTAAAAATTAAACCAAAACTTTCTCATATGCTGATGTGTTTAAGGGTGTCTGCCAAAACAAAAGGTCATTATTCTGCAAAACAATGTTTTGAATCTCTAGACAGAAATAAATACGACTTGTCCATTATAAAAGCTGTTGTGTTTTGTCATTACTCAATTAAATGTAGTTAGTTTTCTCTATGAAATAAATTACAGTGTTAGCATATCTTTACTGAAATAATGGTTTAGCTATAATCTAGTTTATCCGATTATTCTTTTCCAAATCCCAGACCTCTGGGTGGGGTAGAAAAGGAGTTTCCATGTTCATGTGGTATTTTACAAGCACACATCGACTCACCCTGTCCATTCTCAGGGCTGCCAAAGAACTCCACAGGTAAGGCAGGTTAGGGCTAAACCACACTCTGCCTGTTGGTAAGTTCTGTTATTTTTGTTTACTCTACTGTGCTTATCACAGCTACCTGGATTACAACAAAGGATGAACAGTGTAAACTGATACTGTCTTGCTAATTATTTTAAACAAACCTCTAGCAAGAGCTCCTCTCTAGCTCTGAAAAGAAGCAATAAACACATTCTTAAAAATTACATCTTGAAGTGTCTTTCTGTAGAAAGTTCTCATTTGCAGATTTGGCAAAAAACTGCAGGAAAACCACATCTCAATTTCATTATTAAATGAAGGACATATAGAAACTGAGATCTCTTGAAGTTAAAGTGAGACAGGAAGCAAGATATCTCAAGTCATGTGGCTGACTTCCTCCCAGCATTTCCGGAGAACATGTTGTTCCTCTGTTCATTTTACCTGCATCAGAACTTGAGCACAGGGGAGAGAAAGTCTGGCAGTAGTAAGGTAGAAGTATATTTTATACACAGAAAGACTCTTTCTTGAATTGTTCACATCAATATTATTAAATCTTCTTCATGGAAAAAATCACAACCAGGTTTGTAAGTAATAATTTGTAATAAGCTACAGTGTTGGCAAGGCTTATAAGCTATTTAACAGCTGAATTTTGATCTCTTTACATCTAGTAAAATCAATGATATGAACATCGCTATGAGATAATTTCAATTCACAATGACAGCTTGTCAGAACCTAATTACAAAGAAGTGCACCTATCAAATTGATGTCTCCCCATTTAGAGACAACACCCTTGTCTCTAACTTGGACTTACATCAATTTGATAGACGGACCACTCAGTGGATAAAGAACTGGCTGGATGGCCGCACACAAAGAGTAGTGGTCAGTGGCTCAATGTCTAACTGGAGACCAGTAACGAGTGGTGTCCCCTCAGGGATCAGTGTTGGGATCGGTCTTGTTCAACATCTTTGTCGGTGACATGGACAGTGGGATTGAGTGCGCCCTCAGCAAGTTTGCCGATGACACCAAGCTGTGTGGTTCGGTTGATACACTGGAGGGAAGGAATGCCATCCAGAGGGACCTTGACACACTTGTGAGGTGGGCTGATACCAACCTGATGAAGTTTAACCATGCCAAGTGCAAGGGCCTACACCTGGGTCGGAGCAATCCCAGGCACAGCTACAGGTTGGGCAGTTAAGAGATTGAGAGCAGCCCTGTGGAGAAGGACTTGGGGGTGCTGGTCGATGAGGAAATGAACATAAGCCTGCTTCAGTGTGCACTTGCAGCCCAGAAAGCCAACCGTATCCTGGGCTGAATCAAGAGGACATGACCAGCAGGCCAAAGGAGGTGATCCTGCCCCCTCTACTCTGCTCTTCTGAGACCTCACCTGGAGTATTGTGTGCAGTTCTGGTGTCCTCAGTATAAAAAGGACATGGAACTGTTGGAACAAGTCCAGAGGAGGGCCACGAGGATGATCAGGGGACTGGAGCACCTCCTGTATAAAGATAGGCTGAGAAAGTTGGGGCTGTTCAGCCTGGAGAAAAGAAGGCTGCGTGGAGACCTCATAGCAGCCTTCCAGTATCTGAAGGGGGCCTATAAGGATGCTGGGAAGGGACTCTTCATTAGGGGCTGTAGTGATAGGACAAGGGGTAATGGGTTAAAACTTAAACAGGGGAAGTTTATTGGATATAAGGAAGAAGTTCTTCAGTATAAGGGTGGTGAGGCACTGGAATGGGTTGTCCAGGTAAGTTGTGAATGCTCCATCCCTGGCGGTGCTCAAAGCCAGGTTGGACAGACCCTTGATTGGCATGGTTTAGTGTGAGGTGTCCATGCCCATGGCAGGGGCGTTGGAATGATCTTAAGGTCCTTTCCAACCCTAACTATTCTATGATTCTATATTAAGATGTTAACTTTTTTTAGGAAATGTTTCATTTAGAATAAACTGACATTGTATACACATTTGATTTATTCTGCAGAGCTTTTCAGTGTGCCCACATAACAGCCATAATGAGTGCCAGTGACAAATGCCGCTTCTGTTATTTAACTTAGTACAGTGATTACATTTCGTTTTACCCTCGAGTTTGAATTCAAACTTCTGAACAAGCAAAGACTTAAAAGACTGACTCAGAGGTAAATAAAGATTGCATGAAGAGCTCAGACAGCATCTCTTTGGTGGCACTGTGAATGACACAGGCTGGCTCTAAAACAAATGATAAAATGGATGTGGAATATAGAGCAAAAAGCAAGAGTCAAGCCTGTAATTCACTTTACAAAACACAACTGTCTTGCGGATACAAAAGCACCGCAGCTGCCAAATTTCTTTTGAACAAATGTTGAGTGACTCTCTAACCTCATAGATGTTCGCTTTGTTTCATCTTCAGCAAGAACATCAAGTCCAAAGGCCAGGACAGCTTAGGGTTTTAGTCTCGAAAGAAGCAGTGGCCCAGATTTACCTCTAGATTTAGCTTTGCTTTGCAATGTGGTGTTGTCATGGAGTGGCCTTGACACCAGCCCTTTCATCCACTCAAAGATCAGCCAAGAAAAGCCTGTTTTGGTAGAGATTCTGC